TTTCGGTCCATTTGAATTAGGTTCAGAAAGCAAGCTACATCAGGCCAATGTGATGCTTTTCAGTAATTGGAAAGAGAACTGTGACACAACATCCTGTTGGCTAGAAAGAATCGAAATCAAGAAATCAAAGAAGAAAAAAATCGTTGAGCGGTTTATACTGTTGGGGGCTGATTACAGAAAGCCATAAATATCACAAAACGTGGAGAAAAGAGAGGATTTGAGGCACCTTATTGGTTTTGGGGTCTATGGTAAACGCCATCTTCAGGCAGGGAGCATCATTGCATCAATATTTCCTCAACCCTGAGGAAGAGCACCCTACTGAGAAGTCGGATAGCTGATCTCTTATTGGATCATTTCCACTCTGACTAACTGTGGGAACATTTAAAACAAAACAGTGAATGATTAATGTTGCTAGATTCACACATACTACTTAAACCTCAAAGGTTATACTTTTCTTAAAAATTTGCAATTTTTCTCCAGTAACAACCTTTTTTTGCCAAAAATGCCTCAAATTAATGTATTTAACTTGAAAATTCAGACTCCAGGACCCTTTTATCTGTACAATGACGAAAAATTGGTTATTTAAATGGACAATTGACCAAAAAAAAAGCCTTAAACTTTCACAGGAACTATGTTCCAAAAAAAAATGCTTAAGATTATGACATTGTGCAAAGTGTTGAAAACACATAACTGACCCAGAACATTTTCCCTCCTTTGACCTCCTCATGGAGAATGTAAGCACTCTACAGGTTAGTCTATGTTATTGTCTATGATAGAATAGAAGGATAAGGACAATGAGAACATCAGTAGGTGGAGTAGGCACCTACTAAACCTCATTAATAGTGCAGGCAATGAAAAAAGTTAGTTATTTATTTTTTTAAACAGTTATTAAGGGTTAAATTCTGCTCTGAATATGCACATGCTACATTTTTACCCACATTACCCCCTGTAACAGGCTCTTGACATCACAGGTGTATTCCTCCAGCTCTGCTTACATGGCTTTCTGTCATTTAGGGTGGGTTACCGCACATAAATACACCAACGTCAGTCCCAAGGTCACAAACACACTTTCTCTTTCACACTCATTGTGTTAAAGGATTGCTGCCTGACGTGACCTTGGTGCCGGGTGAAAGCGAAACATCTCCGCCAGTCTGATCTGCCACCCAGCGTATCTTTTTTCCAGCTTTCGCACAGGAAAGAGCCGTTTGTTTGCCATCAGCAGTCAGTCTCACTCAGTAACTCTAAGCAGCTGGCCGGTCTCGACTGCATTATTCATAGACACAGAGAGAGAGAGAGAGAGAGAGAGAGAGAGAGAGAGAGACTCTTCTCCAAACTTACAAGATTTATGGGCCTCTGTTTAGGAAATAATTCAAAGTTCATACTCACATACATCATATTTTGAAACACATAGATTATGGGGTGGAACACATTTATCATATTGCACATGCACACGCACACAAAAGCACTGAGATACACACTCACAAATGCACATGTTCTCAATCTCGCTGTCTCTGGGAGAGACACACATAGGCGCACCCGGACACACACACACACACACACACACACAGCAGACACACACAGCAGACACCCACAGATATGTGCATGATTTTGTCTGAGAGGTGGTACGTACAAACGCATACAAGCAGGGCCTTCACAAGGATGGGGTTGTTTTGTAGATCTCTACTGTTGGGCGGGTCATAAAATTACACAAAGATCATTAATTTATTTTCCAACATAGTTGTTAAAGCTAATGGTAGTGGTGCCTCGCTAGGCTTTGCCTTGTTATAGGCCGGTTGTACTTGAATAGTGACGTATCCAGAAGTGGAAATTCCAAATTTCAGTCTGATATACTGCGACTTGAGCCAACAGGTTAGAGAGGTCACATGCATGAGCTTTTTGAAGACTCAGTTTTGAAGTAGACATATTTTTTAGGACAGCAAATCAATTTGATTTTTAACCTTTACTGGTTCGTGGGCGATCACACAATCGGATATGCAGTGGTGTGACCAATCCTTTTGACACTGCAAGGTTAGGCCTCTAATTGGTGAATCAAATTTTCACTTATATTAAGGGTTAAATCTTCAAAACACTGAAAGATGATGTTTTTTGCTGTCGGGAGGCTTCTGCCCACAAGTGGCCCATGAGTTGCAACCAAAGTCCATGCCTCCAATGTGAGAAAGGCCACGCCCATTCAAGTGTGCATGAGAGTATAGGAACTCGGGTGCAGAAAAATGGCAATGCCACATATATGTCTGGCTCACCCTCCGCTACACCTCGGGGCCGGACAGTTTTGACACAGTTTTACCGATCTGTCAGGCAGTCACTTGATTCATTAACGATGAGGTTTGTTTTTGTATTTTGAATGATTTCATATAAAAAAATTATATTAATACCTTTGATTGTGAAAAAATCTGTGCCTTTAAAAAATAAGTCTTTAAATTTATTTGACTTTTTTATGTTTGTAGAACTTTGAGATGCTTTATGAAGGCAATTTAAATTTTCCTCAAACCTAAAGTGCTAAAGAAAACACCTTTTTACTCAAATTCATCAAAATGATTTGAAAACTTGCAAACATTTCTATACAGATATATATTTTTTAATCAGATTTATTGTTTATGCCTTGATTTCATATCATTTTACTGACTGTACGGTGACCATAAGTGTTGGTTATTAATTCAAAGACATTTATTGGTTGATCAGATATCAAAAGGTCTTAAATGACATTATTTCATTATTAACAAAGTTAGGAAGCATTTATAATAATGTAAAATATTTGAAATACATTCTAAAAAGCTCATTTGAAACCAACTTAAACGATAACAATATTCGAGAACATATTGCTAAATAAATAAATAAATCACGGGTTCCTGAAAAGCTGACATGCGTCAACAGATTTAATTTCTTGTACAGAGATTTACTTTAAGCTTTTCAATCACAAACATAATAAAGTATTAATTTGTTTAGTTTGACACAAATCCACTGAATATGTGACTGATGAGAACGTTTAGTCTGACTCTGTTTAGTCACGGCCGTCGAAATGTCATCTGAACAGATAAAACCCCTTTTTTTTAGAAACTGCATGTGGTCATTCCAGCTACTACACATTTTCAGACAGATTTTCAAAGTCAAAATCAAGCGTTTAGAGAAGATTGTTGGCATTGTGTCTTAATGAAGCGGAAGAATGTCAGACAGTGCTTTACACGAGGTTACCAGAGGCGAGATCAAGCCTTGCTTTCATTAGTTTGAAACTGAAAAAGAAACAGCTTGACCCTCGATCCACGCCCTGCAGAATCCATGTTTTCAAAGCAACTTCAAAAAGACATTTCTTTTATTTCAGGGAAACATACATTTGAATATAATTGTGCTCCTCCTGGACAAACGATTAATAATGAATCATTTCATAGAAAAAAAAATGCAGAGGCGTGAGACAGCTGTGGGAGAGAAAAAAAAAGGGAATACAACTTATTTTAAAAAGCGACACTCGGCTGGGGGTGGTAGGACACACAGCGATGAGGTCCCGTTAATTACAAAATGCATTAATATTTTATTAGCCCCTTATCAGTAATTAATCAAGCACTTTGATGTAAAGTTCAGCTTACAAAAGCAAAAGGAAATGGTCCCTCTGATATCCTTGTTTCACAAGAGAGGGTTAATCCTCGCGTGCCTTAAAAGCATTTCCCATCTTAAGCCCTGACGTACTGTAGAAGAAACGGCAAACGAGTGTACAGTACGCCGATAGGACGGGGACGGGAGGGTTGGGGGGACTGTGTTCGGAGACAATGAGCTCCCTCAGATGTGATTCGCAAGGCGTCGGAGGACACCCAATCACAGTAAATATTATTCTTTGTGCCGTGGCTTTAATTAACATGCTTAATTGCAGCTGTCAAAAGGCTCTTCTGACTGCTGAGGACATGAGAGCTGGAGAGGGACTGTGTGGGTGGGGGTGTGTGTCAGGATGGAGAGGGGTACACTGGCCTGCAGCACGACTGAAGCTGTTGTGTCACCATTGATTATTACAACAAATCTGCAGGAATTGATCAATTTATTATTTCTTTTAATTGGGATTTCAAACAAAATAAGTTTTTCCAATCAATGGTGATAAAGAAATTTTATTTTGCAATGAGAGACATACGGAAAATCGGAATCTCATATCAAGAGATTTTCCCTTTTTTGCTTTTAAATGTAACGTTTACTTAAGATGTTAACAAAACTGTCTTCTTCACTGCACGCAAGAATATTTTAACCCAATATAAGAAAGATTTTTCTAGAAACAGGTGAATGAATGATGATGGATGTTTATTTAGATTTTTTGTGCTCATTTTAGGACTAATACTATGCTTAAAATTCTGTTGAAGTTTTCGGAAATGAAAAGGTAAATTTTGTTTATTTAGTGGTTTTAATTAGATTAGGTAGATAAAAAATGCATTTCCAAGAATGTGATAAAAAATGAGGTAAAAAAATCCTGGCTACAACAATTTTTCATAGTGAGAAAAATATCATCATTTAAGCTTGAGGAATAAAATCCAAGATTCTTTTTTTAATTTAGTATTTTTGAGTTTTACCTCTTTCCAACCGGAAATTGCAATGGAAGTCAACTAGAAGTCCATCAATGCCAATGTTGTTACTAATGTTTGACATTTTTCTGAAATCAGCGTAACATTTAAGATATTTGTAATTAAATAGTACAAATCCTGGGTATGTAAGAGCATTTCAAAGCTAAAGATAAAGAGATTTATGCAAAGAAATGAAAAAAGAGATTTTTACAGCAGTTTACTTTACTGTTAGCAACACAAAAGGTTATTAAATGTGTATTTTTATAGTGCATTTATGTGTAAAAAAAAAAAAGATTTGTCACCAAAAATCATTCACTTTGCATGTAAATAACAATAACGTTGTTGACAAATTCAGATCCAAAATAACCTTGAAGTCGCCGAAAACATTCCCAAAAACACAGAAGGGTTAAATCCTCTACTAAATATTTCCACAGTGACTTGATATTTCATTTTCAAGTTCAGTTGGTAGAGCATTGCGTTCACAATGCTAAGGTCGTGGGTTCAAGTCCCAGGAAAAGGAAGAACTGACAAAAAAAAAATGTGTTCATTCCTTCAAATGTAAGTCACGTTGGATAAAGGTGTCTGCTAAATATCATGTTACTTAATTGTATTTGAGAATATGCAAAACAAATATGTGTATCATAAATAATAAAAAAATTATAAAAATCTGATCTGATGTCGAACCCTATCCCAAACAAGGAGTGTTTTCAGTTTTAATTCTCCCACCGGAAGCATTTGGGTAACGACCCACCACACCAGTGGATGTTAGATATCCAACTAAACTTCACAGTACCTTTGACCCTTTTAAAAAAATCTGGATGTGGTGGAAAACCCCATAATTTCTTCTTTTTTTTGTCAGACTGAAAATCTTGAGGGTGATCTGAGGACAACGATGTGAAATCTGCACAAGATCAATTCCCACGGACCAAAAATGGAAATGATTTTATCACCCTCAAAATCTGATATCTAGGTAAGGCCAAACTGAGGACAAGGCATAATTAAAAGAGCTGAATTTATACCCCAGGACACACACGCACTCAGGGAGGCTGTAGTGTGACTGGAAGGTCAGTGTTCTCTTTAACAGATAGCATTGATCCTAATGCTGTCTTCTGATTGGCTGAAGCTGCACTCCTGCACTTCCCCCTCTGGCACTCTGATGGATCGACCCACCTGTAGACCCCGAGGCAGAGCTCCACCAGGGGGCTCAAGTCCACAGTGTGTGTGTGGCAGGTCATCTCTTTATTTTTCTTTCTTTCCCCCTCTCCCTCACACAAAAACAGAGCAGCCAGACACAGACTCAGAGGCAGAAAGTGGTCCTTTCCTCTTTCAGGGGAGGATGAGGTTTCTCTCTCTCTCTCTCTCTCTCTCTCATGCTCTCGAAGCCAAATCTCTGTTGCTCTTCATGTCACTAGATCCGTACGAGGACAGAAAGAGCAAGCAAACAAATTAGGTACAGTACACTGAAACAGCTCAAGCTGCACTGTACGGAAATAAAAATAACAAAGTAAGAAAGAACGTGAAACTAATGTAGACTCTTGGATTGTTTTTCTTTTTTTGTCTCTTTATTCAAATGGTTTTTAAACCTCTTTCGACCTCGATGGGGCCATTGGATATTTAAAAAAATAAAAACAGTTTGAGTTTAGTCTCTCCATGAGGCAAAAGGTACAAGATACTAAATAAATACATTTATTGATGTAAGAATAATCGCAGGTAAAGGAGCTTAAAGGTGCGTTATGTTAGAAAGCGGTTTTATTTTTAATAATATGTTTTTTACTGGTCGAATTGCATGGGAAACGTGATTCTTTTACTCTAAACTCAGAATCTCCAGAAATGGGCTGAGATTTTAAACCACTCCCCAATTACTTACCTGTTGGTTACTGATTTGCATATTCATAACGTGTATGCAAAGTCTGACGGTCAACAAGGGAGATTAGAGTGATTCATTACGAGAAACAGGAAACGTTAAACAGCTCTTTGAGCCAGAATCTGATCCCAAATCAGATGCAAACGCACCTTCACCACAGTTGCATCGAATGGTGAGTCTGTTTCACCAACTTTTTTTATTGATGTTACACATTTGTGTGTTGCTAGCTCCGTCATTCCCACAGTTCGACTCTCGCGATGCTTTGAGGATAGTGCATTTTTTTTTTTCAGAGGAAGGGAAATCAGGAATTTGATGTCTGGCCTTGATGTAAAAATTTTAGTCAGTGACGCAAATAAATCCAGTTTTTTTTTAGTTCAAGAACATCCATGTTTCGATTTTTAAATCAAGCTACTCTTAGAAATTACTATAAAAGCCACTAAAAGGCTCAAAAAATCATGACCTTTTTACAGTTTACCAATCAAATTTCAGGAGATAATATCACTAAGTCTCAGCCGTGACTCACTCAGGCATGCGTTGAAGTGACGTTCATACTGTGCCACGCCCACACCACGAGTTTTACTGAACACTATTTTATCTCTGTTGCATGAAATAAACGTTAATAAAGTTGAGGTTTACTCAATTTGTGGAAGCAAACAGGAAAATAGTTTTCTACGCGTTTTAGAGTTGGATGATGGATGGAGAGCGATGCTCGACTTGTCGCTTCAGAATTCTGTGTTTGATTGGGTTCAGATCGGGAGACATTCAATCATCTTCACCCTGTTCCCCGTCAGAAATGCAATCGTAGCTTAGGACTTGTTTTGGATCACGGGCGCATTGGAAAAAATGGCAGCATCTTCTCCTTCAGTATAGAAGTAGGACACATTATCATGGTGTCATTAATGAAATGACATAATGACACTGCCACCACCATGTTTAACTGTAGGCATCCATCTTAGAAATCCTCACCTTTACAATGCCATAGAGTTTTAAAACCATAAGTTCCACTAGTCTTCATCTTTTTCAGCATGGGCCCTAGCATATTCTAGACATGCTTGAGGCTTCCTTCGTGGACGCTACCCATGCATGCCATTGCTCTGCAGTGTGCTCTGTTTGGTGTCGCTGGAAACGATAACTAACTACTAACCTGTCAAGATGTTAACTTCTGTGGACGACCAAAACATCTCTCTAAGCTGGTTGCATTTCCATCTTTCTTAAATACTTGCATCACTTTTGCCACAGGAGTTTGACTGACAAGTAAAGCTTTGCTGGTCTAGAAGCCCTCACATTTTTTGTGTAAAGAAATCATTTCGTTTCTCAGATTTCGTGACTTTTTTCTTCCATGGGGAGCCATTGCTGACAGCATGAAATTGGAAGGGCTTTTCTTTGTTACGTAATGGCCTTTTATAGTTACCTGTTTGCAGGACACTTCTTACACTCACCTGTGGTTGAATGCCTGCTCATTAGAATATTGTAACCTTAAGTGTGGCTTTTCATCTAAGAATATAATCGGGGTGTACTCGTTTTTACAACATGTGCTTGAGATCTGTAAATGAACAAACCTCGTGTGGTTGTGGGAGTATTTTGTAGTCTCTCATCGAAAATTCTAAAAGGACATTTTTCAGGATCTAAATATGTATATAAAGCATGCAATCTTGTTTATTTTATTGGTCAAATTTGCTAAATATTCCTTATATGAGTGCCCACTATGTGTTTAATTCAGTCAAAATCACAGATTTGTTCTATAAAACAGACATTTTTGTATAATTAGCTTAAAAAAGCAGTCGAACTGCATATGGCTCCTCTGATTTGGCTTAGTTCTATTCACATATGGCACTCGCTGCTGAGGCTTTTAGCTGTGTGCCAGCGTTCACTGTGTGTGTAGGGCACACAGACTCACAAAAACACTCTGCACAAACACACACTCGCTCACAGTTCTGGTCATGAAGTAGCCAAGCATGATCCACACCTGACTCACACACACACACACACAATCCCAGTGGCCACTGCACTGACTCCCACACACTTGGCGCTCGTTCCATTCACATAAAATCACATCGTCTGAAAAATCTGTTTAATTTATAGCATCGGACATAAATAGCTGCTTTCTAAAACTCGGTGCAAGAATGCTAATTTAGATCCGTGAGAAATCCATACCGATCCCACTAACACATCGGCCTGGCAAATATGTTCCTGCTCCATAATTTGAGTAGGTGGCGTTAGAGAGAAACTCACACGTTGGTAGTTTAACAGCAAACACACAAAGATTTCACAAGCAATGCGCTACTTATACCGTCCACATCTAGACAAGAGGGATTTAAATATGTGTTTACAGACCCCCTTGGTTCTCTTTATGAATATTGTATTTTGCAACACATGCTGCTGTCCACACAACACGCTCACGTGCATCTGTGGCCACAAAGGAGCCACATTTTGATGATTTATTACTGATTTTAGAGCATTTTTTACCATATCCAAAGCATCTTGCATGTGAAAGTTCTTCCTGAAGCAAAAAAAGGGTTTTCCATGTCATACAGTGGTGAGGATAAAGTGCAAGATGCCAAAAATGCATTTAGTGAAATATTAATAATAGAATGTAATAGAGGGGCTTTCTTAAAGCTGTGTTGTTTACTACGACACGCAGGTTTTCAGGAGATAAAATCACTTAATCAGCTGTGATTTATCATTAAAACACCTATATATGGCAGGCATTAATGTCACTTTCAAACTGGGCCACGCCCCCTACACTTGACTGTGACCCGATGATCAGCTTTAAGTGGTGAAAAAATGGATTTCCTGACATTCTTGACATGGTCCTGATTTCAACTCTGTGTTGAACACTCCTGCCTTCAAATCCTGCCTTTTGACATGTTTACAAAAAGATAGCTTTTTAATTAATAAAGTCCTGTCAAATGTATATTTTTTCAACATGTCATGACAAATTAAAGAAGAACAAAAAAGCTTCTAAACATGAAAACGATTTCTAATCTGCCTTTGAAATACAAGTGGATGAATCTCAATTTTTTTCCCCCATTCAATTTTTTTTATTTCCTCTGTGCAAAAAATGTTGCATTTGTTTTTGAGAAGTGTTAACTTTCTTTTCCTGATCATCCAGATTTTTGGTAGAAAAATGAAACCAAATGTTTTGAAGATGGAAATCCAGCAATTTATATTACCAGAACGTACCAGCAACGTAAAAACCAGAAATGTACACATTTTTACGTTGTTAAGAATAGGTTTTGCTTTAGTCTGCGTTATTTCTCCTTTCACACAGATAATGAGCACGGCACAATGGAGCCTGCCGACCCGAGGGCCGAAAAATGACCTCGGTGTGACCCCTGGCCTCAGTTTGAACCCAGAGTTCAGCCGCATCTGATATCAGCCGTGAGCTCAGACGGAACGACACTGAGCAGATCTGTTGATGAACCTTCACACATTCTTATTTTTAATATTTAGTGCATTTTTTGAAGGAAATACAGAGCGATTAAAGTTAAACTAATGTTAGCGGGTTGTCGTAGGGTTAAGAAGTCCGCAAACACTCTTGGCTAATTAGGACATGAAGTTATTTATAAGCGAACGCCCTGAAAAGAGTCATTCACAGAACATTTTTCATTGGGGTAATCATGAATTTGCAACTGACTGACTCTTATGTTCCAAGA